ATTCTAAAAGACTAAAAGAATATAGTTAAAAAATTTTCTTTAGTCTCAGTCAAATTTTTTTCTTTAGATTAATCTAATCACTTAATTTTATTTTAGATATCTAATATTGTCCTTATGTACATGACAAAGACATTTACTAATTATTTTTAATTTGTTAATTTTTTTAATTTTTAAACTTTTGAAAATAAATTATTATATTTTTAATTTTTGAGGACTAATCTTATAAATATTCTATTCTTACTCAAAGGAGAGTTAATGGATTCCATTAGTGAAGAAACTAAAATCTTTAAATCTTTAAGTTTAAAAGTTAAAAAACTTTATAGTATAAGGTAATAGATTAAAAAATTTAAATTTAATAAAGTGAGAGGCTATTTATATACTTTAGCATAAAAGAAGATGGGTTGCATGGACAGACCTTGTGGCTTTTTCTGCTTTACGGTGAGTTTGGATTGGTGGATTCGGAGTAAAAGAGGAGAGTGGTGGAGAGATGTGTGGTTAGGAATGGCAACGGGTCCCCACGGGGGCGGGGACCCCTTCCCCTTCCCCATCCCCATCCCCATCCCCATCCTCGTGAATGGCGAGTACGGGGATCCCCACGGGGATTTTTGACGGAGGGTCAAAAATTGCCTCCGTCCCCATCCCCGCAGGGAATAATAGGTTCCTGCGGGTATTCAGAATCCCCACCAAATAAAACTATCACTTATTTCACTGCTTGTTAATCAAAATTGCAAAAGAAAATAACAATTTTACAGAATCCTAGATAACAAACAGAAATGATCAAGATCACTTAAAACAAGATAAACAAGTAGTCAATATACACAATAACATAGCCAATATATACATGTCATTGTCAAGCAAGTCCAGCAAGCAAGCCAGCCACAAGTTCATATTTCATAAAGAAAAAAGGCATAAACTACCATATAAATCTAGCAAATCCAACAAAAGGTTTATAAAAAATAAAAGCATAAATTGCAACTATCATATATGTCTAGATTCAGCAAAGTGGATAAAAAAAAAAAAAAAGCATAAACTGCTGCCAACATGTCCAGCAATAAGTTTATTAAGAAAAAGCACATAAAAGAGTTAAGGAAGTGGCACATGCGTACATATTCATCCAATCCAACAAAGCAAACTCTACAGCAGCAACTTAAGCTAAGCTTGATCAATAATTTCAAGTTGAAGAAATAACTTCCTGAAATAAAAACAAATATCCCAAATTAACAAAATTTTAGAAAAATTTCTTTATATAATAATTTATATAAAGAAACATTATTATTTAAAATTTACCTCAAATTCATCATCATCATTATCGTTCTCCTCCAACTCCTCAAATAGATTGAAGAAATTCCCATTATTGTTAGAACCTGAATTTCAAACATAATAAAAGTTTAGAATATAAATTCAAAAATAAGAAAATAAAAGTCTCATGAAATTCAGAGTCTCTTATGCTGTCTCAAAAATCTAGCTGTTTCCATTCTTCTCCAACGTCGTCCTCCTCCTCTTTCTCCACCCTCAGGTGGATTGCCATTTTTTTTATATATATTCTTTGAGTTTATTAATAGAAAAAAGAATTATTGCTCGACATTAAATAAGATAATCCATAACGTGAAACGCAAAGTGTACTTTTGAATTTTAGGATAATTTTTGGATGCAAAAACAAAAACCGTGAATCAGATTACGACTGATTAGTATGTTGCAACATTCAAGATCTATCTATTTGTCTTCGACTCTCTCCGTCCGTTTGTCTTTTGCGGATTTTCCCTAGTTTCTAGATATACCTTTACGCCCCTTCCTTAGAAACACTAAAGCAAAGCACAAAAACGGTAGCTTCAAAGTTGCATCTAATTGATACCTGGAGTTGGAGAGTTTGAAAAGAATCCGAGGCAGAGCTGTAGAGGAGGAAGCCACGCGACAACAGAAAGAGGATGACCCAGCCTTGGAGGAGCTGGAGGTGAGCGGTGAGCATTGTAGACTTACAGAGACGGGTTGACGGCACGGTGAGAGGCTGGTTGAGACGACCCAACGGCAGCCTTCGAGCTAGAGGTGAACGGTGATCGACTGAGCGTTGCAGGGCAACAAGGGCTAGAGGTTGTAGTGATGGCACAATGGTGAGTGGTTGTAGTGACAAGTTGAGTCGGTTGACGGCACGATGAGTCGGTGAGAGTTTGAGAGCTGAAGGGAATCACTGATTCACATTTCACAGTGGTCCATAGAGATGAGGGCAAAGAGGATTAAGCAAGAGTGCGGCAGAGGAGAGGAGACTGACTGGAGAGACCGATCGAGAGAGGGAATCCCAAATTCGCAATTTGCAAGAAGCGGCAAGAGATTGAAAGTGAAATGCAAATTAGATTGTCCTTCTGCTAGGGTTATATGTAAATTGGGCTGTAAATTGGGGCTGGGCAATTAAGTTTAGAAATATTAAATTGACAAAAAAAAATTGGGTTAGGTTGATAATTGGGTTTAGAAAAATTGAAAAAAGAATGGGTTGTGAAATTTAAATTATATTGGTATTGGGTTAGCTAATTAGATTGGGTAAGTAAAAA